ATATGGGGATTGGATCTTTCTTAGCAGTGTGAAGAATTTGTATCTGTGCATACATGTGTGTTCACCCAGGATGAGGAAAATGTGTTCTTTGTTGGTTTCTGGTTCACAGCTTTGTCAACAGAGATGAGGGGATAACAAGGGCCAGCCTACTGGAGAAATACAGCATTGGGAGAGCTGAATCTCCTGGGTTCCTGGGTGTTTCTCCTAAAGACAGTGGCTCTGACTGAGACCCTTGCCACTATTATTCTTTTGCTGGAAAAAAAAACAGTGAGGTTTCTCTTCCAGAGCTTGTGCTTTCCAATTCCTTGCTGTTTCCCTCTAGGCCAGAAAGTTCTATCTGAGGAAGGGATGGGAATGATGATGGAACTCGGCTTAGCTCAGCTGGAGTACTGAGAAGGCTCTCAGCACGTTCTCTCTGCCTTGTGGTTTGGCTAATTGGAGGAGCTCTGGCTGAGAGGTAAAGAAAGAAAGGAATTCTGCTCCAGTTGGGGAAGGGTCCCAGCAGTTCAGACATGGCTGCCCTTTTGCTCTCTTACTCCCATCACCTACAATGAACTTGTAAATAAATGATTTTTGTTGTGAGCGTAAAAAAATAAAATAAAATAAAAAATTAAAACTACACCTCTGCCACAATCTCCTGTCCAGAGTCCTCACAGGGCCTCAAGATGAGTCATGACATTTGAGAACATGTCTCTCCAACATGTCACAATTCCCTCTGTTCTGTGCAATAGGAGATAGAAAGATAGATAGATAGATAGATAGATAGATAGATAGATAGATAGATAGATAGATAGATAGATAGATAAGACATGTGCGGTACACAGTCTTGAGAATTCCATGGATTCTAAGCAATGTTCCATTTCACCACATCTATGAATGTACCCAGCACATGCAACATTAACAGGATGGCCAACACAGAAAGAATAGCGTCTGTCTAATGGGAAGGTGGTTCCACAGGAGTTCACAGCCCCTTCTCCTTGTTACCACCAGAAGGAGAGGGACTGCCCCATTTGCACACCTTCACTAAAAATCCAACGGTCCCTGTAGCTTGTGGCCAGAGCCTGTGTCCTTGTCCTTCTTGTCTTTGCATCTCACAAACAGGCTCAGACCCCTTCAGGAAGCTGCTAATGTTGAGAAGGCACTGAAATACTGAGCATACTCCTCCACACTCTGACTTTAGGGCTGCATCCTGTAGAATGAGGCTGTTCATGTGACAGTCTCCCTCTGCCCTGGCTCTTTCTCTCTCTCCAGGTAACCTAGGCAACCACACACTCCATCCTGTCAGAAAAATCCCTTTTTCTCGCAGGTTATTGATTTCCTCTGGCACAGTGGTTTCAGGATGAGATTTTAAAACACCTCTGCCACCACCTCCTGTCCAGAGTCCTCACAGAGCCTCAAGCTGAGTCATGACATTTGAGAACATGTCCCCCAACCTCTCTTGAGAGAAAATGAAAATGGTGGGGTAGGGAAAAATTTCTGTCTATTTCACAAGGGATGGGAGAGGGTGGCACGACACAGACCTAGAGGTAAATCATGTTGCATTGATGAAAGGTATTCCAATCACATCACCATGACAACTGCAATCAAGGCATAATTGGAGTCTCTCTTTTAGCACCAGCGTTTAAAACATGTGTGAGGGTTTGACAGCAGAAGCACCACACACCTAAGATGCTCGAAAGTGCTCATGAAGATGCTGCCTGCTACCTTGTGAGTGTGAGAAACACATCCTGATCTGATCATCCTAGAAATTGCCCACCAGAGAGGGTGAGGCAGGAAGGGGGAGCACACTGTGGTTCGGGGCGCCATTACTCGGGAAAGGGCTAGTATTTTGTGAGGTAGAATGCAATTAATCAAAACTTTATGGCTTCGGGCTGGGGAGCCAAGGGGCTGGTAAACTGTCTGGCACAAGGGCAAGAACTTCTGAGGTTGGATCCCTGAGCACTCACTCAAAAGGTAGCTTGGTGGGGCACTCCCACAATCCTAGGGCTGATAGACAGAGAGAACAGGATTTCTGGGGCTGGCTATCTACCTGATCGAGACACACTGGTAAGCTCTAGGATCCTACAATAAAACTGTCTCAGAACACATGATGGAGAGCAATAGAGTAACACGCCCAGAGCCAACCTCGGACCTCCACCCACACAGGCATGAGGGCCCACAGTCACACACACGCACAGACACTCAGTCATCCAGTGCACATATATAATTGTATGAAGGAGATAAAGGCGATGAGTCAGTAGTCATGGTCAAGTGAGGGCTCCAGCAGGACTCGAATAACTGAGGGCAAAGTAAAGGGTCCCCACAGAAGACCACCTCTAGGGGAAGCAAGGATCATTGGTGCCGACTCCAGTGACCACTTAGATGACTCTGAGAGTCCTTGGCCAAAAACACAGTGTTGTTATCTATATAGGGCATGATCTTTTGCAGGGTATGGGGCAGTGGGGCTGACAGCTGAGCCTGGGCCCTCTTGTCAGAAGGTCCTGTATCCAGCATGCCAAGAGAGTCACAGCACATCCTGTAGTTGGTTGAAGTGAGTCACTGGAATCTCCAGGGAGGTGGATCTTAGAGCGAATGGTTCAATGACCCCCATCCTGCTCTATCACTGACTTTGAAACTTTACCATTGTGTATTCTAAAGGGCAGCATGTGCTGATGCTGGATGCAGAGGGGATAACAGGAAGACCTACAGGTAGGTGAGGAATCAGGGAGGGGTAAATGTGACCAGAAGAAAACACAGCACCTACTACAGGACATGCACTGTGGAAAAGGAAAAACATGACCATTGCTGTGCCAAGGGGAGAAATCATTGAAAAGAAAGCACGCAAACTGAACTATAATGACAATTTGGGTCATCACCTAGTCAGTCGGGGGACTGAGAAGATGTGTTACAAAACTCAAAATGTGCAGAACAAACAAGTTGCCCCCTGGATTAGGATGGAGACCACTACACATTTTCTTCACCTCTCAAAGTCTCAGACAAAACCACATGATGACATCCCAGTCCACATTAACAACAGGAGGCAGGTGATCATAGAAGAGAACATGTTTACACATTTGGAACAGGGCATTTCAAGCTGTCTGGTTCAAGCAGAACAGGACGCCACAGACTTGAGTAGAGCAAATCAGTTCAATGTCAGGCAAGTGAAAATAACTTGTACACCCTGACACATCCCTCTGATCAGACAGAGATACAGGTGCACTGTCCAGGGACTGCAGGTCACAGGGCATGTGAGAAGGAAGGACAAACAGTAAAGCAAGTAACACATCTCAAAGATTCTCTCCTTGTTTCCCAGTACACAGCAGGCTCTGCCTCTCATGGTTAAATGGCCAGGAACAAGTTTTACCCTGCCAGGATGCCTTTGCCCTCAAAACTGCCAGGGCACCCCATAATGGCTGGTAGGGATGTGTTTTCAGGCCTTCAATAGCTTCCTCTATCATTCCAAAGCTACACACTGGCTGCTGCAGAGTGGTTGCTAGGCAGCAGCCTGGAGCAATGAGCCACATCCTCATTTGAATAAGGCCACATCCACCCCACCCACCTGTGTGGCATAAAGGCAGCTGAAAGGCTGGTCCTCTTGTCTCTTCAGCAAGGAGGGGTACATTCTGCCCTCCTAGATGTTCGCTTGGATCATCAGAGGCTTTTAGCAACTAAGAAAAACAGGATGTACAGACTCCCAACCATAAGCTGATAACTAATAAACACATAGAAACTTGCGACTGCTGGATCTTGACTAGTAACAGCAAACTTGAGGGCAAAGTGGCCTCCCCAGCTTTCAGTCTATAACATGAACATACCCAAGCCATACATATTTATTGTGGCATTACTACAAAATTCATGAAGTCAGTCCCCACACAAATTCACCAGTGATCACCAAATCTGCTGATAACAATATTGATCAGCAATGTCTAGCACTATGACAATTGCACCCAGACACTCCTGCAGTATAGTCCATACTGACTCCCGAGCCTGCCCATGTCGACCCCAGCATGCATAGTTGAGTTTCTTGTCTCTTTCCCTCCTCATCTACATGAAACTATACCTTTCCTGAATGGCCAGGGTGTCCTTCAATTATGTATTAATCAGATAAAGAGACAGGGTGTGCAGCGGGGGTGTGATATCTATTAGGATGCACACATTTTTTTTTCTTCAGTAAGTGATACTCACAGGGACCTTACATGTACTTTACAATCTGATCTGTGAAAACATATGGATCTTTATTTTTCCAGGATAGCAACATATTTGGAGGGGTATGTGAACAACTATGGATCATTTATTTATGGTAGGTAAATTACTTGAAAGAGAGCAGGTATTATAGTCAAAAATAACTATTTGTATGGTGTTGATGTTGATGCATAGTCAAATGATGATCTGTCTCAGGATCACATCACACAGGAGCCTAACCTACCCAGGTCAAGATTCCCAAGAAGGTAACAACCTTTGCATTGCCACTCACAGGAGGACTAGAAATCCTCTGGGGTAATGTGGAGCGCAGGGGTTGTGTCTGGATAATATTCCGGTACAAGAACAATGTGGTTGAGGAATTTGAAGTGGGGAGCAGGGTGTTACAAGATCAGTCTAAAGTGGTAGCCACTCATACTGATCCATAAAGCAGTCATTGTGGGACAAGGTCAAGGGTTTGGGCGCTTAACTTTATAGCAGTGGCTAGGTCGCTGTGGCTGCCGAGAGCTCCCCAGTTCCCTCACTAGATCCCTGCACTTGCAATGATACTTTGTACGAGTCATCACAATTGTGTTAAAAAAATATAACATGGAGACCCTAAATGAGTGACTTGGAACCCAACTTGAATGGGATAAACAAGCCATTCAGTATCAGGAGAAATCCTCATGCTGCTATTTAAACATGAATTGGACACCAGACTTGACAGAAAACATATCAAACTGTCACGAATGACCCTCTGAAATCGTAGCGGTGGAGCAAAACAGCAAGAGTACAAATGCCCATTGACTCTTACTGAAAATACAGACAAAAGCCAAGACTGCTTTGTGGGAATGTCATTGCTTTTTATAAACAAGGGAGGAGGAGCACCCAGGTCATCACGTCGGTGACTGTCCTCTCTGCTGTAGGCTGTAGAAATGGGCCTCCTTCAAGATCTGGTTAATGTGGGAGTAAGGACCTTGGCCTTGGCACAGTGCATAGTCCTCGTGTGAGAACTCGGGGATATTGGAGTATAGTTCAGCAATGTTCTGGTTTAAGCTGCTTTCTGGTACACTTCCTCGTACTGGGATATTGATGCTGCTGTGGTTTCTTTCATTATCACTGCTTGACGACTGGAAGGAGAAAGACAGAAGGAGGATGGCTATTATGATACTGTCATCATTTCCTGTTCAGCTTGAAGAATACTGGCATCACGCTTTACAAAAGGCTCCACAGTCTATGAAGTGCAAACACTTGGGTAGCTCCTTCCCTCCTGACAGCAGCGCTATCACACAAACCGGGGTTAATGGCACCCATTTGACAGAACAGGAAAGAGATGTTTTACAACCCAAAGGCAAGTCTTTGGGAATGTTGTGGAGAGGGTTCAAACACAGGTTTTCTCCCTCCTAAACCCTTCACATTTTCTCTGACCCTGTGGCACCATGCATTTGAATTACCTGAACCAGGGAAGAAGCTCCCAACAGCCAGGACAAAGAAGCATTCAATGCTGCAGAGTATGATAGGGATGAATGCGTAAAATGGAATGCAAGCCCAAGTCCCAATGTGGCAGAGAAATGATGGGGAAAGCTCTACTTACACAGACATGCACATGTGCACATGTATATACATACCAATAACATGATATTTCCATACATATCCCCGAGAGTGGACATATGTGCATGTCCTATAACTTCAAGTAGGCTCCACTTGTATTTTGAAATTATTTTGATGTTTGTTAATGACAACTGTAGGCCATCAGCAAGCATTTCTGATGATTAACACAGACTGGTATGCTAATAGTAGGTTTACTATAGTTTGCATATGGTGAGTTTGCTCTCAATATTTTCTAAATGGATAAGAAAATGTGGAATATGTACTCATTAGAGTATTACTCAGAGGTAAAAAACAATAACATCTTGAATTTTGCATGCAAATGGATGGAAATAGAAAACACTATCCTGAGTGAGGTAACCTAGACCCAAAAAGGTGAATATGGTATGAACTCAAACATAAGTGGATTCTAGCCATAAATAAAATACATTAAGCCTATAATTAGTGATCCTAGAGAAGCTAAATAAGAAGGTTAACCCAAAGAAAAACATTTAGTAATCCTCTTGGATATTGGAAGGAGACAAGATTGCCAGGCAAAAATTGGAAATTTGGGGGTGGGAGTGGGGGAAGTAAGGGGATATGGGGAGAAAAAAGTGAGAAGGGGGGATGGGGAGAGCTTGGAGGAAAAGGACATGATGTGGGAGTGTCATATATCAATCTGTTGATTTCATTGGTTACTTGATGAAGAAACTGCTTGGCTGGCCCTCATAGGTTAAAACATAGGTAGGTGGAGTAAACAGAACAGGAGGCTGGGAGAAAGAAACTGAGTCAAGGAGTCGCCATGATTCTCCCACTCCAGGCAGACGCAGGTTAAGATCATTCCTGGTAAGCCAGCTTGTGGGCTACACAGATTATTAGAAATGGGCTAGTCCAGGTGCGAGAGATAGCCGAGAAAAGGCTGGAACTAATGGCCCAAGCGGTGTTTAAAATAATACAGTTTCCGTGTAATTATTTCGGGGCATAAGCTAGATCTAGCCATGTGGGCAGCCAGGTGCCCGGGACACAGCCCAGCTGCTCCTATTTCAACAGGGACAGTTGGGATGGAGGAAGGATGGATATAGGAGCAGGGAAGTATATATCCTAAATAAGGGAGCCATTATAGGGTTGGAAAGAGACTTGACTCTAGAGGTGTCCCCAGGTGTGCATGGAGATGTCCCCAGCTAGATCCTTGGACAGCTGAGGAGAGGGAGCCTGAAATGGCCCTATCCTATACCCATACTGATCAATATCTTGCATATCACCATAGAACCTTCCTCTGGCGAAGGATGAAGCTAGAGACAGAGACCCACATAGGAGCACTGGACTGAGCTCCCAAGGTCCAAATGAGGAGCAGAAGGAGGGAGAACATGAGCAAGGAAGTCAGGACCTCAATGGGTGCACCCACCCAGTGAGACGTTGGAGCTGAGCAAATGGGAGCTCACCAAAGCAAGATGGACTGGGACTGATAGAGCATGTGATCAAACCAGACTCTCTGAATGTGTTGGACAAGGAGGGCTGACTGAGAAGCCAAGGAAATTGGCTCTGGGTTTTGATCCTACTGCATGTACTGGCTTTGTGGGAGCCTAGGCAGTTTGGATGCTCACATTCCTAGACCTGGATGGAGGGGGGAAGTCCTTGGACTTCTCACAGGGCAGGGATTCCTGACTGCTCTTTGGACTGGAGAGGGAGGGGAAAGGAGATGGGGGGAGAGGGTGGTGAGGGGTAGAGAAATGGGAGGAAGGGAGGAGGTGGAAATTTTTAAGTAAAAATTGTTTTAATAAAAAGAGTTTTTATAAGGAAAGTAACTAACTGCCTGGGCGCATGAGCACACACCTGTAATACGAGCACTCGGGAGGCTGAATAAGGAGGATCTAGAGGACAGTCTGGACTACATATGAGCTCCAGGACAACCCCTGCTATCTATCAAGAAGCTGCCAAACTAAAAACCTTGACAGATTGAAGTAATAAGGGCGGCGGGGCCGCTCCCCCAGCACCCCAGCCGCCCGCTCAGCTAGCTTATGCCCCGAAATAACAACACACAAACTGTATTCATTTAATCACTGCTTGGCCCTTCTGCCCTAGCCCTTACTGGCTAATTCTGATATCCCGATCAACCCATCTCTAATAATCGGTGAGCACCGGTCTTACCGGGAAAGGTTCAGCATGTCTAACCTGGCGGCTTGCTTCATGGCGTGTGTCTGCCCAGGAGCCGGGAGCATGGTGTCTCTCTCAGGCGTCTGCTCCCAGGAGGAGAGCAGAGCTGTGGAGTCTGAGCTCACTTCCTCTTCCTCCCGGCATTTTGTTCTGTTTACTCCTCCCACCTATCCTCTAACCAATAAAATGGGCCAGGGCAGTGCCTTTATTAGCCAATGACCTTCCTCCATCATTTCCCCTTTTTCGGTTTAAACAAAAAAAGGCTTTAACATAGCAAAATTACATATAACAAAACAGTTATCAAGTAAAAGTTACAATAATCTTTATCATAACTAAGGAAAACTATAACTAACTATTCTTAACTCCATCAAAGACACCAGAAAGATATAATATTACCTAAGTAAACAAGAACTAAGAAACTTCAAACTCTAGAAATGACAAAGACATCTCGCTGCCTGGACAGTCACCCAAAGTTCTTTTGTACCGTTGGGGCATCCATCTTCAGCCTTCAGGCCCATGGTATCCAGCAGACATTTCCATAAAGCAGGAAAATTCAAAGTCAGTTCAGTCACTATCTGTTGTGTCCTGCAGAATGTCTCGCAGACTCTTTCAAAATGAATCAGGAACCCCGAAAGATCATCTCACCTTAGGCAAGTTCAGTAGTCCTCTCTCTGCGGGTTCTCTGTGTCCAGTTTATGCAATAGTCCAGGCAAGAGCAGTTTCTTGCCCAAATGGCTATCAAAACTCCATAACGAGCCTCTTCGATGCCCATCTTCCTCTTGAAGTAGATTGGTGCTGCCAGGAGCAGAGTGTCTCATTGTCATGAAAAGTCCTCAGTTATTAAAACATTAAATGTCCTATTCTGTAATCTTTGAAAGACATGAAGAATGTCTATCTAAAATATATCTCTATATATCTAGAAAATCTAACTAACATGACTACAACCTTTACTATTATCGATGATTATCCATTAACAACCTATATTTCTTAATTATACAGTACATATTTAAATGAACTACACAATCACAATACCTTAATCAAAATCAGAAATACATATACATATAACAAAATTGACCGTAAATCTCAATCTATAAAGCAAAATCTATACTAATGTAAATTATTCGTATCTATATCATATCCCCCTTTAAATGTAAAAGGACGTTTATAAACCATATTTGGGAACATGGGCGCAGTTTTTTCTCTCCAAACTGCTTCCTGCTGAATGGGGGCGTCGTTAATTAGGTCTTTCATGGTATAACCTGTGTGCTAGTTTCATCTCAGTTGGCAGTTGAGCGAAGCAATTTTCTGAAGATGTTCACTGCAACCCTTCAGGAGGGCGTGGTCCATCATACCAAATCGGAATAGAAGAAATGAACAGCGTCTCATCCTCTGTGAAAACAAAATAAGAAACTCCTTTCCAAAGCATCATGTCCTTAGATCCAAATTTCAAAGTTAAGGCATCAAAATATCTATGTCGGATTAGTTCAGCAGCATTTATCAATAAATATCTTTTAGCAGCTGTTGCTTCTTCCTCAGCATTCAAACAATTCAAAGAGAGCATAATAGCATACAGTATCAAGATTCTCTGTGTATTTTCCATCTTTGTGCAGCTTTGTTTTAACCTCTATTTTGTTTATTTTTACTTTTAACTCTTTGCTTTTTGAGACAGGTTCTCTGTATCTTTGACCTGAAGTAACTCTGTAAACCAGGCTGTCTTTGAACTCTCAGAGATCCGCCTGTCTCTGCCTCCCAGGCATTCAGGATTAAAGGTGTACACTATTACACCTTGAACTCACAGAGATCTCTTTGTCTCTGCCTTCTAGGCACTGGGATTAAAGGCGTGTGCTACCACACATAACAACTCTCTTCCTTTTTTTTTTTTGTTTTTTACTTTAAGAACTTCAACTTTTAGTCTGCATATATTTTTAACACACTGTAAACCATTTAAAAATTTTTTTTTGTCTTTGAATCTCTCTTTACTGTATATCTCTCTTTTTCTGACCACATGAATCTTTAATTTACCAAGCAATCTCAGTAGGACTAAAGGCGTGGCTTTGCCAGCTAGATCCAGTCCGTTCCTTAGCTTTCCAGCCTCATGGCGGATATATAGGCTGTAGCCATGTTTACTGCCACAACTGTATGGCATTTCAAGGTCCCTGCCAGCAAGTGAGCTACAACAGACAACACTCAAGTCCTCTCTAGGTAGCCGGCCCTCCTGCCTCAAACAGTCAGAGTTTGCCCTGGCAGGATGGCCCAGAAAGCCGGCATTTTTAAACAACAGGTTTTTTCCTGCTGCTGCTGAAAACCGAAAAGCATGTGTTCAGCTTTTCGTCAACACCATTTAAGTGTTTCGTGGCAGGACCTCTTAATGAGCTGCAGGCTTTGCAGCTAAAGCTGAGTCAGGAAGCTTCTCTTAGAAGAAAGCGCATGCTTGCCTCTAACAGGCAGAGCAGACCCGAGAACACAGCGAGTCTAGTTGTCATCAAACAAATCGTAGCACTTTACTCCAAATGCTCTATTCAAAAGCTCTGTCTCCTGTAGGAGCCAGACAGAGATCGCAATGGCAGCACAGCCCCAGGAAGTCGCGCTTTAAAATGACACAGCATTTTTTCTGCTATTGTTGCCGAATCAGGAAATCTCTCTACAGCACGCCACCAACAAACAGCAAAAATCTGTGTTAAACTCTCTCTCCCTTATTTTTAAGCCTTCTCAGGTTTTTTAAGTGGATTTAGTCCCTCACGTGGGGAGCCATATGAAGTAATA